CATGGGATACAGGACAGAAACAGGAGACCAGCCCAATAGAGAGGTGTAGGAGTTCACTAGAGGATGAGGAGGCCGGTTGGTCTCCAAGGCAACCGGAGCTGATTGTAGTAGGTGATTCCACAGACAGAGGAGTTGAGGGGTGTCATCACCAAGAAGTCTGCTGCCAGTCTATCATTTTTGTTTTGTTTTGTTTTTTTTAATTGTGGTGAAATTAATATAACGAGGAGAAACACAACATAAAATTAGCCATTTTAAAGTGAACAATTCAATGGCATTTATTACAGTCACAAACCTCTATCTAGTCCTAAAACATTTTCATCACCCCTGAAAGAAAACCCTGTACCCATTAAGCAGTTAATCCCCTATGCTCCCAGCCCCCAGCCCCTGGCAACCACTACTGTGTCAGTAGTGAGTTTGAGCATTTTAGTGCTGATCAAGAAAAAAGACATGACCACGAGGTGGCAGTAGCACACAATTAGCTTTATTTGGGCCCAGCTTTGACAGGATTGCCCACCCAGTGAGGGAAAATCTCTTGCAGCAGGACACCTTTAGGGAGGGCAGCATGGAGACCACTAACCAGAAGGGGAGGAGGGCAAGGGAATGTCACCCAGCAACAAAATAGACAGTCTGTGGGTCAGAGAGCTCCCGAGTACAGCAGTGGCTTGGGGTCTTTGATAGTCCCAGGAGTTGTCTTATCAATGGCTTGTAAATGCTGAATGCAGTTGTGTGGAGTATGCAAACCAGGCAGGCTCTAAATGGCTAAAAATGCACTTATTTGTGTTATATTTAAAGCAATTGGGGCCGACCCGTGGCGCACTCGGGAGAGTGCGGCGCTGGGAGCACAGCGGCACTCCCGTGGCGGGTTCAGATCCTATATAGGGATGGCCGGTGCGCTCACTGGCTGAGCGTGGTGCGGGTGACACCAGGCCAAGGGTTGCAATCCTCTTACCGGTCACAAAAAGGACAAAAAAAAAAAAAAAAAGCAATTGGATGTGTAAACATTTGATTTTGGCACCCGTGAGCTTTTGAGCTAAAGGTCCTACATACTGTGAAAAAGTAAAAAACGTAAGGGACAATGCACAGGGTCATCTCTGGCTCGTTTATTTGACAGTCTATGGATTTACTAATTCTGGAAATTTAATAGAAATGGGAGCACACAATACTTGATCTTTTGCATCTGACTTTGTTCACTTAGCATAAAGTCTCCAAGGTTCATCCATGTTGTAGCATGTGTCAGAATTTCATTCCTTTTAAAGACTAGACAATATCCCAGAATATCGATATACCACCATTTGTTTACTTACTCATCCATTGGTGGACATTTGGGTTGTTTCCACCTTTTGGCTATTGTGAACATGCATGTTCAAGTATTTGAGTATCGTCTTCTTAACTAGAGAACAGAAAACATGGTTCGTATTTGTCCTTGGCTTGTCTAGACCAAGGATGTGGTTCCTGCCCTCCCCTCTAGGTCCTGCTGCCTGGACCAGCTGAGGGCACTCATTCATCCCACAGAAGAGTCGTGCTTTGACCATCTCCTGAGAGCTTGCTGTAGGCCATGGTGAACTTAAAACCACAAAACACAGAGCAGCCTCCTCCCCCTCAGCCACCCCATCATATTTCTGGGGCATTAGCAGTCTACTGCCCTGATTTGGACAGCTCCATGACTAGGATTCACTGAAGCTAACATCCTCAGAAAGGCTCTTATAAATTCTCAGAGAATCTGGCCCCAGTTATGACCCTGCTGTAACATATGCTGGGTGTATTAGTCTGTTTTTGTTGCTTGTAACAAAATACCTGAAACTGGGTGATTTATAATGAAAAACAAAATTTATTGCTTACAGTTTCTGAGGCTGGGAAGTCCAAAGTCCATCTGGTAGTGGTGACAGTGACCCAGAGGCCTCATATTGCAAGATGGTGGAAGCAGAGAGAGAGAGAGACAGACTCCTCTTCTTTTAAAGCCCTCAGAACAATGCCCCTGACCACCATTTTTAATCCACTCACTACTGCACAGTCCTATAATCTAATTACCTCTTCAAGGCCCCACCTTTCAATTACCATAATAGGATTTCCCACCCTCTTAACAGTCACAGTGGGGGATAATACATAAAACCTGGGGGACACAATTCGAGCTTCAGAGAGTTTGGGGGGGATATAATTCAATCCACTACAGAAAGGCTCTTATAAATTCTCAGAGAATCTGGCCCCAGCTATGACCCTGCTCTAACATATGCTAGGCCTGGCTCAAAATTGCAAATGGAGGCTTGGACTGTTTGTGCAGGAAATTCTGGGGTTCTAGATAGCTAGAGCATGGTCTAAAAAGGGATGGCACCGACTATGAGAGAGCCTGGTCCATTAGCCTCTTGGGCTTTGCTAAAGGGCCTGGCCTGGGCTGAAGCTGTTACCTGTTTCGAAGGTGGTGCTAACCAAAGATACTCATCTAACTCAGCTTTACACAGCTGGGCTTGTGCTTGCTCCTTGAGAGAATGTTCAGAGATAGAGATACATAGTGTGTGAACTATAAGGAAAAGCAAGGCAGTTATTAACTTAAAGTGGGACAATAGTTACGTGTGCGAAAATGGAGAGGGATGTGAGTGTAGAGGTGCAGAGGGTCGTTTCCAAAATGCTGAGAATGTTTTATTTCTTAACCTGGGGGTGGGTATACAAAGGTTCATTTTGTTATTACTATTTAAGCTGTACATATACATTGCATATATATTATACAAATATATAAAACAAAGATTAGATATCCAAAGTGGGAAAATGAGGCAAAATAATTACATAATAGGTATTGAATCAGATAATACTCGTACATGTAATATCTGCCCTTCTTATCACCTTCACATTAAGGACATTACCCAAGTTATAAAAAAGAAGGACAGAAATTAAACATATATTCTGATTTGTTACTTATTACATAATTATTTTGCCTCATATTCCCACTTTGGATGTCTAATCTTAGTTTTACTCCTATAAGACCTGGTAGCGTTTAATAATAAATAAATATCGTGTTAACCACTGACTGTAATTGCCTGCCCTAGTGTAATTTTCATTTTCTCAAACTTGCTATTTTCAAATTAGAGAAATTGAAATAAATTCAGCTACAATGCTTGTATTTATTTACTGTACAAAATGATCAATGTTCACCTGTATTTTCATTTCCTTTGTAGGATAATTTCTGTCTTCAAAAAACAAATATTTATTTCAGGACTTATTATCTTAGGTTCTCATTGTCTGCTGAAGGAGGAAGATACCTCAGTAATATAAAAAATGTTTGATGTGGTAATTGGTATAAGAGGCTTGTGTAAAGGATCAAGAAAATGTGACAGCTGCTAGGCTGTGCCAAAGTCAATCAGTTCATCTTATTTATTCTAATTCTACATCTGTGGGGTAATATACTGACAGTGGGGAATGGGGAATACACATAACTCAAGTGGTATATTATCAAATAACATTAATTAAGCAACCAACCTACACACACCTACACATACACACAGCTATAGAGTATAGATTTTGCAAAGCAATGGCCCTATTTACCTCGTATTGCCTCAAATTTCTACTTAGAAATCTTTACCCATAGTACTGAGAATATTTTTATGGAGATCTTGAATTTTCTTTCAAATTCAAAGCATTTAAAAATTAGACAAATTTAAAATCCCATCAGGTTACCCTAAGCCTTATGATTTCAAGTAAAACTCAAACAAGGAATTCAACATAAATACTTCTGAGCTATTACTATGTTATGGTACAAGGTTGATTCGGTTAGGGAGAAGCACAATGAAAGACATTTTTACAGTGACATGTTTTCCAGTAAAAATTGTGCAGCTACTCCTTTCTAGTTTAAAAGCGATTTTTTGCTACAGTACACACTAAGCTTTTGCAAAAGATGCAAATTTTTCGATCAGGGTCAACCTCCTGGTTGCTAAAATGGTATATGCGTTCTTTTTGGATTACTCTTTATTAAAAAATACTGAATTTTGCTCCATTGTCAGACCACGTGTTCCAATTTTAGGTTAAAGAAATAGTCACACCACTCGTGGACCATGACCCTCCCCCAACTCGCACTGACTAGCTTCCTACCAACAGAGATCCATGCCTTTCATCCTAAAGTGGGTATGACCGAAAGTGACGCGGAAACCGAGGTGGGTTTAAATCCTAGAATGCTAATCTGGTTTTCCACGTCACTCAAATGTACAACTGCGTCAGAGAGCCTCTCCAAGGTCCCTTGCATCTGCACACCTCTGCGACTAAGAGGTATCTCTCCTTGGAAGAGAATTCTCATAAAGCCCCTGTGGGAAATTATCTAGCTGAGAGCCAGGCCAACCACGGGGTAGGAGCGAATCTGGTTTCTCTTTGAAAAGCCTTCCCGGGACTAGCATGCAGCGCCAGCAACAGAGCGCGCCCCGCACCACGTGTCTGCACCAGCTGCCGGATTGGCGGAGCGCATTTTAGCGCTGCGGTCTAGACGCGCGCGGTCCCGCCCAGCTGCAGAGGAGCCTGGCAGCGGAGAGAAGAGGCCGGAGGGGGATCGCGCCGGGGAGGGGGGCGGGTGG